TTTAGTTACTTTAAGTGGATGATTGTTAAATGTCGCTGTGCATTTTACTCCTATTTGTGACTGATGCAGAGCTGAAGCCACGCATTCAAGTTGTGGGTTAAAAATGAATAACAGAAAAGGAAAGAAAAAAATTAAAACAACCTAGTTGAAATCTTTTCTTAAAAATTCACCACTAGGCAGCGAAATTCAGCTGCAGATGCAACATTTGTGTGTGGAGAGTTGACACAGATTTCACTTTGTAATAGATGTAAGTGCAAATTGCACTCTACTGCATGTGTTTGGAGGGCTCGGTGAAGATGCAGTGTCTTGCTTCCTCTGCGAATTCCCGAGTTCAGGAGCCCAGACGGAGGTTGCCCTGGACTGCTAATCCCCAGACCCGGTGGGTTCAGAGGCGCCCTCCTGGATTTGCGGACCTCTCCCAAGGAGACGGTAGGGGCTTGCTGATTTATGCGCATTCCTTTAAACTTGATCGAATGCGTGTCAGCCGACCAAGACCTGGAGAATCAGAGAAATGTGCAGCGAGTTGCTCACATCCCGTTTCTCATAAGCGAAGATGTAGAGTTATCCAAAAGGCAGAGGGAGATTTATGCCTAGGTTTTAGGACAGGCACGCTAATTAAGTTTTCATCTGCTAGGCCGCCGGGTCCGTAACAGCCGGCCTCATTCTTTATGAAAATGCCCACTCAATCCTTGTGCATCTACCTATCTCTGATGAATGCCTGAATAGTGCTTGCTATTTTTAATTTTATTTTAAAGGGAAGAAAAAAAGACACTGGCGCAGAAAAATTCCTCCATGAAAGCAGCCAAGGCCTTGCCACAGTTGATTTCATTTCTGCCCGGCTCTCGTGGCGCTGAAGAGCCGGATTCACCCGGCAGAAATAATTACAACGGGTCTCAGAGATTTCCAAACCTCTGAGGGCGGTTGTGCGGCGACATAGGACCTCCCCCAGGTACTGGGGTGTGAACTCCGAGAGCTACCTGATGTCGCGCCCCTCGGGGACTGAGGCGCGGCCCCAAACCCTCCACGCTTCTACAAGAACCCCCTACTCAAAATGGAGGTTCAGGCCGGTGGAAAGCCGGCCTCCCTCAGACGGCACGCGGGCCGGTCGGGGCTGCGGTAGGACGGCGGGCTGAGGTCCCAGCGCGGAACCGCGAGGGCCGGGTCTGTGCGGGTGAGTGGCCCCGCAAGTGCAGGCTGACGTCACCGCAGGCCGCGCGGGCCTTCGCGGGACTCCCCGGGCGCGGCTGGATCAGCACAAGCCGACTTCAAGGAATGTTTGGTGCGGGTGCCCACTTCCCCGCCCCGCCCCGCCCTCCCCAAGAGAATAATCCGGTATTTAATCTCTCCCGGTCTTAATTCTTGGCAGCGTGGAAGGTGGTTTGCAACGGGAAATAAAACTTGACAGGAGCATTTTCTCTAAAAGGGATTTTGAGACGAGCTGAAAAGAAACCGTGTTTTTCTCTACCAAATACTTCCGCTTTCTGAACCCGGAGCCGAGGGGAGGGAGAGATCCGAGGGAGCGGAGAGCAAGCCGGGCACACGAGGCCACGCTGTGCACCCCACCGGCCGCGCCGGCCGCCCGGGCGGGAGGCAGCCTCGGGCTCCGCTGCGCCCCGCGCCTCTACCACGCTCCGTGCCGCAGGGCTGTAGGCCCCGGCGCCGCCCGCAGCCCGAGGTTGGGACCCCGCGCATGGGACAGTGGCACCGGCAGGTCCCGGTTGGCACCCAGAGTGGTACCCAGGCGCTGGCTGAGGGAGGCTGGGGTCAGGCGAGAGAAGAAGGCCCTGGAGAGAGGGCCTTAAGGAGCTTGGCGTTAGCTCTGAGCCTCTGGCCTGGGGGGGTTGGCAACAGCCGCTTGCAAGAAGGGTGGTGAGAGCAGGGCTGGGGGCTTTGTTTCCGGCCTCGGGTCTGCGGACTCTGCACAAAATGGAGAGGGAAAGGGGGTGAGCGCGCAGCAGGCGTGGGTCGAGCGGACTGCTATTGGGTGGAGGAGGCTGGAGAGAGCAGAGTCCCCCTCCCCGCCGCTCAGCGAGCGCCCTTCTCTCTCGCCGTAAAGGTCAAGTCCTCCGCGCCACGGCCGCCTCCATGGTCAGGGCCGGTCGCTGCCGCGGTCTCAAGAAGGCACAGGACGTGCAGTTAGCTTGCTGCAAGCGGGTTCTGGTAGCCTGGGCTCTGGGCTCGTGCACTGGAGGCAGAGGTTCTTTCTTGATTTCCAACTCTCCCATTCCCAGCCTTGTTGGAAAGGAGTCCTGGTAGCCACGGGTGGCCCAGGCTGTGTCCCCGTCCCAGAAGAGCGGCATTTGCCCCAGTCCAGCAGACTTCGGAGCCCGCTGAGGCCTAGCAGGGGCGAGAGGGAGCGCCTGCAAGCCCAGGGGAGAGGACGTGGCTGGATCGGAGTTCTGGGTCCTGGTAGGAACATAGGGCCCCGAGCAGGGCCAACTTGGCGGGGAAGAGGATAGGGGAGCCAAGACCCTGCTGGAGAGCCTCTCCTGGGGTCCCTGAGTCCAGGCCCCTCCGTAGTGCGTGGCAGGCCTTTGGTGAGACCCTTGATGCTCTTCTCCTGCCTAAAATCCACACTGAGATGTGAGGGGCAATCTTCCAAGGTAAAAACCCTTGACTCCCAGCCCCCAAGAATCCTTCTCTGCACTCTGCGAGGGAGAGAGCCCCTTACCTCCTGCCCATAGCCTGCCTCCAACAGGTCAGAGCATCAGGCCCTGCGGTAAACAGTTAGCTTAAGCCTGATCTGCCGCTGAGCCTGTCTCTCCAGGTGAACCAAAGAGGACGTGCAAGGGATTTCTTTTCGCGGAAGCGAAAAATCTGAGTTGTACCCCTAGGGCTACACGGATGGGCTGGGCTGTGGGGGCATATATAGCAGAAACAATTGTCTGTGAATGGGTAGCAGAAATGCCTGGCAGGGTGTGTAGGGGAGGAGGGCTGGATGGGGTGATGGTTCTTCTCAAGCCTGGAATGTGAGCCACCACGAGCACTGAGTGGAAATGGAGCTGTCCTAGGAAGCAGTTGGAGCTTTGTGGCATGCGGGCTTCCTGTGAGCTACGGCTGTGGGGACCGAGGCCCAAGGACCAGAGCCAACCTTCGGGTTGGGCCACCCCCTTTTATCTTCTTTATCTCAGACACACTCTGCTGGGAAACCCGTTTGGGCCAAAGCTGCACGGGGAATGGAAGGCAGATCCTGAGAACTAGGGCTTCGCCCTTCAAAGTCTCCCCCACCCCATTTGTTCCCACTCTATAGGAAAAAGAAGTCTAATAATTGGCAACAATAAAAATAAAAATAGTTAATAAAGGAAGTAAATCTTCTCTTCTCCCTTCAGTTTGGGATCCACTAATGTAAATGATAACCAGATTGCTTGGGTACTTGAGACCCTCAGCTGAGCCCTGTGCCCCACTCTGCAGTGGCCAGGGGAAGGGTATGGGCCTTTTCAGATATTTAGGGGCTTTGAAGGATGACTGAAACTGTCAGTCAGACCAAGCAGAATTATGAGGTCAACTTCAGGGCACTACCTATTTCTGAGCTTTTAGGAAGTGTAGGAGACCTTGGGGGAGGGTGGGTGTCTCAGCAAAGGGACAAATTAACCCCTGCCTCCACCTGGTAGTGACAGAGGTGATCTCTTGATTTTTTATCGAAGCCTCAGTGCTGCCTTTGTGCAGCGCCTGGAAAATGTGATGGATTGGCAATGATCTGGCAATAAGCCATGCCCTGAGAACAAATACTGGGAGATCTCCTGGGCCTTCCCAGGCAACTCACCTCCCCAGCTCACCATGGAAAACAAATGTGCCCACAGGAACCCTTCTATTTGGAAGGAGATATTCCTGAAATGGAGGAGAAGAGCTCTGTTGCCATTTCTACCCAGGGCCTCCCGGCCAGTTCTTGCACCTGTGTGCAGTATGATCACCAGGGTTGAAATACTCTTCTGTGTAGCTTTCTAGAAACAGTGCGACATTTGTGGACAGAGGAAAGTAAGGGCTTAGCCAAGCAGGAGGAGGCAAATATTGATGGTGCCCTAAGCAATCCAACAAGAGAGAAACTTAACTGTAGCCATCTGGGAGTGAGATTCAGTCTGTCAAGTGGGTCCTCACCCCTGCCAGGCCTATCCCATCTGGGTTGCCCAGCCTAGAAAAGCAGCAGCTGGGTCTGCAGAAGAGAAGGAGGAAGTGTTGGGGAAGAAAGGAGGCTAGAGAAGGGAGGGGAGAGGAAGGGAGATAAGCCGGATTTGGTGGGGCCTTGGGGTGGAGTATTCCAGAGAAGGAGGTGGGAGACTTAGTTCAGGCTCTGGTGGAGGCCCGAAGTTGGGGGAGAGTCAGGGACCTAACAGCCCCTCTGCTCTGCACCTGAGTATTGGGTGCCCTCCAGTGGCACCTCAGCCCTTGCTCAGTCTAGCAGAGGCATCAAAAAAGGTAGGGAAGAGTTCCAGCAGGTGAGAATGGCTGGAAGGAGGCAGGGCAGGAGACAGGAACTTTAGGGGGGACAGGAGCAGGATCAGGAACTGTAGGGGGACAGGACCCCCTTGAGAAGGACAGTGGTGACTGGGGCAGCTTGGCATTGACATTGAGACTGTGGACAAATGCTGGGCATTCAAAGGCCTGCATGTGCAAGTACTGGGGACTTCACATTCTCAGATTTCTGGGACAAGGAGCAGCTGCTGCCTCCCAAGCTAGCCCCAAGGAGAGAAGAGGGTGGCCCAGCAGCTTTGTCAGTTGGAGCTGAGAAGCCTGGAGTGTGGAGGTGCTCCCGGCCACCCAGCTCTATCCTCCCTTGGAGTGAGAGGGTGTTAAGCTGCCTGTCAAGTGACGATCCTTGCAGCTCACGTCCCTTGAATGACTGTGCTGGAAACGCCCCCAGCACAACAACCACGGTAACAAGGCCTCGCATTGCCCGGTGCGCACCGACGGCTTCAAGGCCACCCCGCCTGGGCACTGCCCGCCGGCGCCCTCCCGCTGCCTCCCGGACCCCTCCGGCTGCAAGAAGAAGCGGAGGCGGCAGAGGCGCCTGGACCCACTTTATTCCGATAGTCCGCCTGCAAAGGCGGTGGAACGAAGCGTAAGGCTCAGGGATGGTCGTCCCCAGAGAGGAGGGCCCCGGAGGCGCTGTGCAAGCCCCCCCTCCCCAACCTTTCGGGCCAAATCAGACGAAGCCTCGGAAAGGCTCGGTCTGTTTTGCTGACCAAATCTCCTTGTTAGCCGTTTCCGCCTGACAAGCCTGGCGCGGGCGTCGGCCTTCTCCTCTCCGGGTGGCCACCTCCAAATGCCGTGCGGGGAGCGACGGGGCCCGGCCTTGCAGAGGGCTGCCTGGACCTTGAAATTTGGAAAAACAAGAAGAGACTGAACCGGGCTCCCTCCCTTCTCTGCAGACACACACGCACCGTCAGGCCGCCGCCACTTCCTGCCTTTGTTTTTCTTCCTCCAAACATTTTTTGGCCTCTTGCATTAGCCGCGGTGGGGCTCTGGGTTGACGATAAAAGGAAATACACCCTGAACAGTTTTCTGGAGATGGCGCGAGGTCTGGAGCTCCTGAGAAAGAACAGCTCCTGGGAAGCCAGTCGCCAGGGCCAATGTCACAGCCTTACCCGCGCCGGCCTCTTCAAGAAATGGAACTCGGACTTGGCCTTCTGGGGCGGCTTTAGCCTCAGTCGGGTCTTTCCCAGAGCCCAGTGGGTTACGCTCGGCTGTTGGACCTCCTGCAAAGCGGAAGAGTCAATCATAGGATCAGAGCAAAGTCAAAACCAAGGACCTGAAGGTCTGCCTTCCCTTCTTCCCCTGAATTTGGTCTGATCCTCAGAGCTGCGCCCACCCCTCACCCCAGCCGCCTGCCTGGAGAAACCTTCACATTCACACCGCCAGCGTATTCCGCACACGAGGGCAGGAGCGGGCAAAACTGGGACATTGCGCAGTCTTGGGGACCTGAGTACCCTTCTCCTATTCCTGCTGGGCAACTAAAAGCGTTCGGTCACTTCAGGCTTTTTCCCTTCTGCTGATATCAAAAGCCTTTTCCCTCATCCATCTTCACGGCAGCGCCCCCACACACCCACTTCCAGGCTGCAAGTCCCTCCGGGCACCCGGCTTCGGTGCAGCCTGCCGAAATGCCCTGCCAGCCGCTCCCGGAGCGCCTTTTTCACCCCCAGCCTTTTATCCGGAATTCGCCTTTGTCTCTTGCGGACACCCATGGGATCCAGCCCTGCCAGCACCCTCTCGGTCTGGCTCTCCAGGAGGACATGGGAGGCAATGGTTATGCGGAACAGCGCACACCCCCATACCGACCTTTCTGCCGGGACCGCTCTCCCTGACACCAGGGGAAAACCGATCTAATTAAGAGAGGGGCTGCGTGCCGCTGGGGGAGGTGGCCTGGCATCCCCCGCTGGCGGGCCACCACAGCCCCGTCTGTTCAGGCACAAGCTGAAGTTGACTGCCAAAACTGCTATAAAACCGCAGGTCTGTCTAGAACTGTTTTCGGTTTTCCTAGACGCCCCCGGGTTCAATTATGGTCTTAAAAGCCCTAATACAAGTGCAAGAATTTGTTTGCCTTCACCCAGGGGCGGGGCGAGCCCCGCAATGGTGGCGCCTTTGTTATGGCAAAGTCACTGAAACCCTTCATGCATTCCTTTTGTTCGAAGGTAGGGGTGGTGAGGACTGGGTGGGCTGCAGAGAGAGAGTTTGGGATAGCCAAAATCAAGCCAGGGAACAGCTGGAATACCTTTGTTTGAAACCTCTCCTTCTGTCTTTTATATTCTGTCTCTAAAAAAGATATGCTGTGGAGAAACAAATATTTAGCCTTGTTGGTCACTGCTGGAAATAGAAGTTTTTTCGCCGCAGGGCAATTCTGTAAATGTGCATCCCAGCTTTAGGAGGTCTGAAGCTACTCTTCTCCAATAACCTTCCTTCCCATTGGAACTTCTCACTCACAGCACTGCTGCCCTCTGGACAAGCCACAGTGGACAAATATGTCAAGCTGAAGATGCACAAATAATTTCAAATTCAGTTCTCAGGGATTCAAGGGACATGAAAGTTCTTGTAGCAAATCTTGAATAAAGAGTTCATTAAACCAATGTGTCCAAGTAGCTTGATTTGTGATAAGCAATCCTTGTAAAGGTGGTGGTGGGGGGAGGTGGAAAGCCACAGAAACATTAATGCTAGTAAATTAGTTTACTCGACTACAGAGTAATTACTCGATATTACTGATATTTACAGCAGGTATTCAAATGCAATGGTAGGCCATTATTTGGAGAAAATACATAATGAGAATATTTCTTTTCCAGTGCAATACATGATTAGATTTGTTATTGAGTCAGTTACAGTCAGCTCAGCAATAAATAAATAAATCGATGATGACACTTATATACCAAAGATCTTAGAGTTTATACTCTAAATCTCCCCCAAAATATGTAAATACCTTTGGCTATTTCCTGGAGAGGGAAAAGCAAAAGGTTATCTTTTTATATATCTTTTATTTTCCTTCAGCAACACTCCAGATCCTTCCAAGAAGAGAGTTGTTGGGAGGCCTCAGGTCTGGGCCCCTCTTAGCTCCTGGCCCTGCCTGGCTGCTCTGTGTCCTCTCCCTTCTTTCGCTTCCTCCAAACATTGCTCCTTCAATCCTGCAGGTTGTGGAGCATATTTTGCCTTCTTAATTTATTTTTTTCCTCTTCTCAAGAAAGCTAGACTCAGAGTATTGCTATGGTCTCTCTTTATTCTTAGCACAAACCTAGCCTTTTAAAGGCATCCCTGTCTTCCCAGGTGCAGGGAGTTGGGGAAGCACCTCTCCTTTCTCTGGCATTGTATTCCTTCTGTGGAATGAATAGTAGGAAAGGCACAGAGCTCTCTGAGTTTTTGCCCTGCACATCCCTTGCTTTCACTCTCACACATTGCAAGGAAAGAGAGAAGGAGAGCAGGAGAGTAGGCGAGTTACCCCTTTCTCAGCCACCTCTCCTTGGCCCTCAGCCCGTCCTTTCCACCCCCATTCTCCCCACACCCCTGGAGCTCTGCAAGCAGCCTGGTGGGCCCCCCACGAAGATGCAGCATACCCAGGAGAAGGCTCCTCGGATGTCAGCGCCTCTAAAGCAGCCCAAGGGTTGCCTCAATTGCATGGTTTCCCGCGTCCTCAGCTTCAGAAGACCAGGCAGATGGGTGGACCGGTGAGCAGCGGGGCAGCCCCTGTGCCTCTGTCTCTGCCGAGTCACTCCGAAGCCCGGCAGGCAGCGAGGAGGAGGGGGTTTCTCCAAGGACAGAAGGTGGGATGAGGAGGCAGGCAGGGAAGATGAGGGGAGAGGTGGATCCCGGGTAAGACGAAGGCCCTTCCGGGCCCTGCGGATCAGTGACAAACCGCGGGGAGAAGCCGTTCTGGCTGTGGGCGGTTTAGGGACGGAAGGCACTAAAGCGCTTCGGAAGTGACCATGAATGAGAGAGTGTAATCAAGTCACCGTGCAAATCGGACAAGCCACGAGGCAGGCACATCCACGGCTTCAAACTCTGGCCCCGAAGGGGTGCCGGCTAGGGTCGGAGGCAGAGGCGCTTCCCAGAGCAAGTCTATGGGAGGGGGACTGCGAAGAACGGGGTGCAAATGCGAGCCTCCAGGAGAACAGACTCCGAGACCACAAGCCACACAGCGACGGGCTCCCACCTGGCTATCCCCAGTCCAGGGCACCCCTCACCCACCCGGAGAGCTGCGGGTGGGAGGTGGGCACGAGAGTTGAGCTCTCACCGCCCTCTGCACACTCGAGAACCAGGACCCTGCAATTGAGCACAAGCATGCTGCATGGGGGCGCACCCCAGCCTCTCCGCGCGCCGGGAGGCCCCCAGCGAACATGAGTTACACCGGCGATTACGTGCTTTCGGTGAGAACACCGAGTGACGATCTGTTGCTTCCCCTGAGGTGGCTACAAAGAAAGGAAGCCGGGAGGGAGGGGAGGGGAGGAAAAAAAAAAAAGGAAAGGAGGGGGAAAAAAAGGCCCGGACTAGCTCGCAGCTTGTCAATTTCAACATCGGGTCACATGACCAGCACCTCCCTGCTAAGGATGGGGATAGATTTCCACGTCAGCTTACGTCTCCAAATTTCTACTTCACGGATCCGCTTCAAAGAGGCAGCTGCAGTGGAGAATCATGTTAAGCTCGGCTACTGCGGAGAGCCCAAGGTAGCCCAATGATGGATTTTGATGAGCGTGGTCCCTGCTCCTCTAACATGTATTTGCCAAGTTGTACTTACTACGTCTCGGGTCCAGATTTCTCCAGCCTCCCTTCTTTTCTGCCCCAGACCCCGTCTTCGCGCCCAATGACATACTCCTACTCCTCCAACCTGCCCCAGGTCCAACCCGTGCGCGAAGTGACCTTCAGAGAGTACGCCATTGAGCCCGCCACTAAATGGCACCCCCGCGGCAATCTGGCCCACTGCTACTCCGCGGAGGAGCTCGTGCACAGAGACTGCCTGCAGGCGCCCAGCGCGGCCGGCGTGCCTGGCGACGTGCTGGCCAAGAACTCCGCCAACGTCTACCACCACCCCACCCCCGCCGTCTCGTCCAATTTCTATAGCACCGTGGGCAGGAACGGCGTCCTGCCACAGGCTTTCGACCAGTTTTTCGAGACAGCCTACGGCACCCCGGAAAACCTCGCCTCCTCCGACTACCCCGGGGACAAGAGCGCCGAGAAGGGGCCCCCGGCGGCCACGGCGACCTCCGCGGCGGCGGCAGCCACGGGCGCGCCGGCAACTTCAAGTTCGGACAGCGGCGGCGGCGGCTGCCGGGAGACGGCGGCGGCGGCGGAGGAGAAAGAGCGGCGGCGGCGCCCCGAGAGCAGCAGCAGCCCAGAGTCGTCTTCCGGCCACACTGAGGACAAGGCCGGCGGCTCCAGTACGTATAAAGGCAGCGCCCTGCGCTTTATGAAAGGGGAGTTGGAAATCTAGCGCAGCACCGCTGTTAAATTTTTATATGCTGTTTTATAAGCATATAAGGTTTATGAAGGGCCTTTAGGTTTCCCCCAACAAAACTTTGTTATAAAAGGCGGGATCACGTGGCGAGTGCTGAAATTGGCCGTGAAATACCCACCGGCCAAGGCATGTCTGCAAAAAAAAAAACAACTCCTCTTTTCGCTTTTTTCCCTTCTCAGCTCCCAAGCCCGGCAGCTCGACCCCGCTCGGGGCCAGCTCCGGGCTGGGGAGCCAGAGGTGGGCGCCTGTAAATTCCCCCTGCAAGGGCTTCGGGAGCCTTTGATAGCAAGGTAATCCGGAGATTTTTATAAAAGCCATGTGTTGCGCCGGGACTCCAGTCCGGCCGGGATTCAAAGGCGTCGCTGTTTAACGACGGCGCTAGGAGCGCGTTTAACAGATAAAGTAGCCCGCTTAGCTCCAGCAATATATTAAAAGAAACAAATTAACCCAAAGTTGGCCTTTTTGTCCAAAGGAAGCCATTTTCCTCTGGCGTGGTGGCAATTACGTGCCTCCTTCTGCCCAACTGCATGTTATTCACAATTGTTATTCAATCTGTCAAAAGCGATTTTTTTTCTTGTCTTGTGGGTCTTTTTTTTTTTTTTTTTTTTTTTAAGGGGGATCAAGTAGAGCCTGCCCGCAGCTTTGGGAAGCCCCCTTTGCCTTCACCCTACCTAAGATAGCGCCACTGCTCTGCCGTGTGCAGGGTGACCGTGTGTCCGTGGTGCTCAGGGAAGGCCTGGGGTAGGGGGCTTCCGCTGCCACCTCCCCACCTCGGGGGAGCCGGGAGGCTGGCTGGGAAGGCAGGAGCTGGTGGCCAGGACTCAGGCTGACAAAGACCCGGCAGCCGCCGCAGATGTTAACGACTGCCCAGTCTTGGCCGCAGCCTGGAAAGATTGGGACTGGAGCCGCCTTTACTGCCTTGGGAAGGGGCAGCCCAGGTGCTGGAAGGTGAAATGTCCGCAGGCGGCTGTTTGTTTAGTCTGGTCGGCTAGAGGCAGCCGGCAACCCCCACTCGGCTGCTTTCAAAGAGGCTTAGGCAGCGCAAACTCGCCTGTTGCTGTGCGAAGCCCTCCTTTCTGTTCTGGGGGCAGCGGGAGCAGCTTCCCCGGGGGCCTATCTAGGGAGCTGGCTTTTATCTGTGGCTGAGCCTCCAACTGCGACGGTTCCAAGCATGCAGTCATAGAGTTAAAGGCAGGGGCCTGGGGAGACTTTGACGGGGCTTGGGCTGGACCACCAGTCCCTGTGGCAGCCCTTCTCCTCAGCTATGGGCTCTGGGGTGGATTGCAGCCCCACACCGGACTCACCCCCTGCCTTTTCTCCCTTCACAGGTGGCCAACGCACCCGCAAAAAGCGCTGCCCCTATACAAAGTACCAGATCCGAGAGCTGGAGCGAGAGTTCTTCTTCAGCGTCTACATCAACAAAGAGAAGCGCCTGCAACTGTCCCGCATGCTCAACCTCACTGATCGTCAAGTCAAAATCTGGTTTCAGAACAGGAGAATGAAGGAAAAAAAAATTAACAGAGACCGTTTACAGTACTACTCAGCGAATCCACTCCTCTAAGGCTCCAGCGGCTGGAATTGGGTGGGGGGCTTCATACACATGAGATAATATGCAGATTTTGCCCTTGACAAGGTCAAGCCACATGGTGACTTTTGAAAAGAGATGTGCAAGAGAGGGATGCATGGAGATAGCCCCACACGAGGCGGCCTGGGACTCTCTTGATTAAGATCTCAGTGGTTAAGATTCCTAATAATCATTGGATTCTGAGAGCTGTGTATCAGCTAGAATGACAGGTTTGGGACCCCTGGTGGTTCACTCTTGGAGCCTGCAGAGCTGCGGGCTGGGTGTGGTCTCCACTGGGGACTGGGCCCCCTGCCAGACCCCTGGAGGCTAACCCCTCCACATCCTCCCTCTACTGGGAGCCTACCCACCCCCAGGACCCCTGAGTCAAAAAGCTGTGTGCTCTCCAAGACCAGTTCAGCTTGGGGACAGGGGCAGGAGGAAGGGGTAGGATTACTAGGTGCCCAGAATGAGGCTGCTTTCCAAAGCCAATGTGAACGGCGGCGGCTGGACTTAGAGGTGGCTATGAGGTGGAAGAGGGCTGCAAATCCTTGTGGGAAAAGAAATCTGTGATTCCAGGTGGCGTCAGTGTCTTTCCACTCCTCCTAGCCACCCACTACACTTATCCAGCCCTGAGTTCCTAGCCACCGCCTCCTACAGCCCACCTGGCTTTTCTTTCTACCAAATGAGGGTCTTGGTTTCAGCCTACCACTCAGGCCCAAAGCCTCGTCGCAGAGTGGACTGTTCCCTGAGGTGGGAGATATGGAAAAGCCAAGAAGCTGCGGCCAGGCCACTGGCCCCTGAGATCTCTGCAGGAAATGGCTGTGGAGTGCGGCAGTTTGGCAAACTCTCCACCACATGTAATGAAGCTTGGATTTGCTCAGTGTCTGGCTGCGGAGCAGCAGGCCTGGCCAGCAGGTCTCCAGCTTTGGCTATGAGGGCCTTGAGTCCCCCAAAACACCGGGTTCCAGCACCACACTCTACCCTCATTGGCTCCTGAACTGAGCTTGGAAGCTTCTGGTGACCTTCCAAGAGCCTGAGAGTGAGGTGGAATTATTTTAAAAGATAAATATTATATTATATATATATATTTCCCTGAAGGAACCAAAGCGAATTTTAAAAGATGCAATGTAGAGGGGAAAAGAGATGATGAAAATATTTAAAGGCTCTATCTGTTTACAGTGTTCCATGGTTAAACTCGCTCACTGCTAAGAATATTTGAATGTATGCTTCATACAGGGATGGTGTTCAAAAAACTTGTAAATAAAGAAACCATAACCAATTTTGTTTTCCTTCCTTCCTTCCTTCCTTCCTTCCTTCCTTCCTTCCTTCCTTCCTTCCTTCCTTCCTTTCTTTCTTTCTTTCTTTCTTTCTTTCTTTCTTTCTTTCTTTCTTTCTTTCTCTTTTTTGCCATTAGTTGATTTCCTCTGGGGTGTTGGAGGGGGTGGAAAAGGTATTGAGAATGGTCTTTTTAATCTCTTGCAACATTTGGAAAGTGTTAGGGAAATGCTCAGAGGCAGTCAGCCTGCC